AACTCCTCTAAAGAGCATTTGGAACAAAATTAAGAACAGAAGCCCTATAGAACCCTGATCTCTAAGCAACACCTAGCTGTCCCACCACCCCTAGGCAAGGCTGGTGCTAAGAAGTTCCAGAATTTCCAGGCTGTTCTTGGAACCCTGCAGGTCCTACTCCAGACAGAACCCAGGAGCCCTGTAGACAAGACTGATGTGGCTCACACTGTTTCCACCTAGGGGGCCTGAGTGTCCATACCAACCAAAGGGGCTCTCTCCTCTCTTCTCTCTCTCTCTCTCTCTCTCTCTCTCTCTCTCTCTCTCTCTTCCCCTCCTGCTGGGCTCCAAAAACCTAGATAAGGATACAGAACACCCAGAATGCCTTTTCCATAAGCTGACTTGTTTGTTTATTGCAGTGCTGGAGATGGTACCAAGGGCCTCCAGCATGCAGGACAAATGCATGAGTTATATCCTCAGCCCCTGCTGGCTGTCTTAAAGGATAGAGCTAAAGAGAGATGGCTCAGCAGTTAAGAGCACTTGCTGCTCTTCCAGAGGACCTGAGTTTAGTTCCTAGCACCCACACTGAGTGGCTTACACCCACACTGAGTGGCTTACAGTGACTCCAGTTACAGAGGATCTGACATCCTCATCTAACCTCCACGGGAACTTGCATATACATGATGCACATATACATACTCAAGATACACACACATACACATAAAATAAACAAATCTTTAAAATTAAAAAAAGAGAGGGGCTGGAGTGATATCACAGCACTTAAGAGCACTGGCTGCTCTTGCAGGGGACCCAGGTTTGATTCCCAGCACCCACATGGCGGCTAACAACCATCTGTAACTCCAGTTCCAGGGTACCCAACACACTTTTAGGCACGGTACTGCACGCACATGGTACACTTACATACATGCAGGCAAAACACCTATACAATAAAATAATAAATAAAATGTTTTAAAAATATTTTATTTATTATTTTTTTTATTTTATGTGTATGAGTGCATTGGCTGCATGTATGTAAGTGTGCCCATGTCATGTGATGCCTGAGGAGGTCAGAAGAGCCACCATGTGGGTGCTGAGAATTGAACCGGGTCCTTTGCAAGAGCTGTCATTCAGTGTTCTTGCTGTGCCATCTCTCCAGCCCCAAAATGTTTTGGTTTTTTTTTTTTAAAGAGAGAAAATGTTTAGCAAAAGCCTCAGAGACCCCTTAGAAAAGCTTGCCAGGAGAGTACCACATAGCTACAAAATTACCTTCCTTGGATGGCTTCACAGACTAGTTAGGGGAAGGATAGTACCTTCCTAAATATTTACCACCTTTCAAAGTCTCACACAAACGATCTGTCTTGCTTACTACATAAACATGCTTGTCTTATATAAAGACCCAGAGAATAGTACACAGGCTAAATCTGTTGCCTCCTATTCTGTCCTTCTTAGAGATACCTAGAGTAAGTTTGTTAGGTGTGCCTACTTCTCTAAGCTAACAAGCCTCTAAATCTCTGGGAGGAGAGAATAGGTACATTTTTACAGGATCAAGGGTCACTTCCACAAAGATGGTCTCTGCTGATTGCTACTTTCCCCCAGGGCAGACCTGGCCATTTCCTCCTTCCTATCCCCCTGTGCATGTGCTGAGCTGCACATCTGCACCTAGGTCTGTGCTTCCTCAAGGAAAGATCATATTTTATTTATTTAACCCTTCATGTCCAGCACAGTGCTTGGCCCTTAAGGAAACTTCACTGCTTATTGGGGGAATGAATACATGGAGGTTCAGAAAGGTTTGGTAACTTTGGCAAAACCCAAGCCCAAGTCTTCAAATAGATGCTTAATGGCTAGGGTAGAAAGCCAGGAGGCAGAATAAGAACAAGCTGCTTCTCACAGGCCTACTGAGTGATTTCTGTCACTCAGGCCCCAAGTCTCTCTTACCACTCTGGTTCATCCATAGCCCCCTCCATGGAACCTGGCTCATAGCTACAGGACAGGTGAAGAAGGCTTGAACGCTCTGAACACACCCCATGAGAGGGAAGCCTGAAGGTTGTCTCTTACTAGGGTCTTTGGAACAGGCCACAGGAAGAAGCCCTGGGGCCTTGGCCTCCATCTGTGTGTGGGAGAGAACAGATGGCTAGTCAGCTCCCTTGGCATTCCCTGGGGATAGGAAGCGTGTGGACACAGTTGATGGATGGCCTGATAAGTAGGGTGGGGGCCAGGAGGAACCATCCCTATGGGGCTACGGTCATCAGGGTACCCTGCCCAGAGGCTTGGAGGAAGTGGGAAGACTCTTGGCATGGAACTAGGACTGCAACTGATGCCAAGAAAATAGCAGAAGTTGAAGAGGAAAGAAGAGAAGATAGGCTGAGGGCTATAAGAGGGTGTAAGTCTCCCCATGTCAGCTCCTGAGGTCTGTCTCAAGAAGCTGAAAATGCTGGGTTCACCTTACTCTTCTTGTGGCATGAGTCCTCCCCCACTCCATTACCCAGGTGAGAGAAGGTATCTTAACGCACTGTTGGATTGTTCCTGAAGACACATGGGGATGGAGTGTCGCCTGCACATCTGTCAAGCTAAAGTTTGGGGGAGAACTCCTCTGGGTATCAGCTGGGCTTATCCCATGGGGACCAGACCTAGCATGCCAGTACCTCAGGGATAAATGCCAGCTGTCAAGGTAGGTACTATTGGCACCTCCAAGCTAAAGCTCTCGCTACCCTAGTTAGAGCAGCAGCAGCTACCTGGGAAGGGAAAAGTGGCTGGGAAATGTGAGCTGTCCAGGTGATTCCTGTGCTATATAAAGAACAAACTCAGTGGCATCTGGGATGCCAGGCTCAGGGCCTCAGAGGCCTGGCTGTGGTTCAGCAGGGAGTTAGCAACAATACCCTGGGGGGGGTCATGCTTGAAGAAGAAAATTCCACCTGTTAGAAGCAGTATTAGCTGAGGAGAAATTAGTCAAGCATGGCAACATACTAAGATCTTGGTTCTGAGATAAAGAAGCTTCCCTTTTCTTCATGCTTTACATCTTGGTTCCTTCACAGTCTAGCTTGGTGGCCAATGCAGAGCAGGTGCTCAATGTGTATTTTTTTCTCTCTCTTTCTCTCTCTCTTTCTCCCCCCTGCCAATTTTTTGCCTTATTTACTAGTATTAGTATGGTGGTGGTGGTGGTGGCGGTGGTGGTGTGCGTGTGTGTATAAGTGTGTCTGAATGCAAGCATGCATGTGGATGGAGGTCAGAGGTCAATTTTCAGAAGTCAGTTTTCTCTTTCCACCATAGGATCTGGGGACTGAACTCAGGCTGTCAGGTCTGCACAGCAAGTGCCATCTCACTGGCACTCAATGTGTATCTCTAGAACTACTAAGCCCAGGTCTCTCTCTAGATTCCATGTAGCCTTCCTCCTACCCACTAACCCTCCCTTACTGCAAAGCTTCCCAGGATAAAAGTAGGCCTGGAACCCAGTCCAGTGTGTCCTGCCAGAGTCTGACCTGGCCTGCCTCCCCCAGCTTCCTCTGGGCCCAGCATGCTGCAAGGTTGAGCAACCATCCTGAGCATCCCCTTTCCCTCCCTGGGAGAAAACTGGGAGCCAGACTCTGCCTGCTTCCTTAGCACTTCCTCCCCTTTCTGACTTGGACACATCTGGCTGGTCACTTAATACTGAAAGGTCCTGGGTAGGCCATGCACTGTTCAGGCTGCAGGGCCTGGATCTGGACAGTCCCAAAACTCACAGCTGGGTGAGAACAATGACTATAGTGGTCAACTTGACCTTCATGTGCTCTGTCCAGGCAGAACATTCCAAACTGTATCACTGTCCCCCAACCAATAGACCACTAAAGTTAGAGGTTTTGATCCTCCATAGAGGACTCATACATCTGATCTGACTCTGCTCTTGCACCTCCCACTGGAGTTCTGCATGGAGGGGAATCACAGCTGGGGGGTCTCAGACACTGTCAGGGCACACTATCTCTGTAGTGTAGATAAAATCTAAACTACAATCATGATTTACAAATCTTAATGACCTGGCCCCCTCAGTCTCTGGAACCTCACCTATTATTCAATGCCCTGATTACTTGGGGCAAGAGGGGGGACCTAGCAGAAGTCATCTCCCCCAGAGCTATAACCATGACAGCTGTGCATCCCAGATATTCCATGACAGCACTGATTTGAAATCATTTATAATTTTTTGTTTTGTTTTTTTAAATATTTTATTATTTTTATTTTATGTATATACATGTATTGCCTGCATGTAGGTAAGTGCAACCGTGTCGTGCAATGCCCGAGAAGACAGAAGAGGCTGTTGGATCCCCTGGAACTGGAGTTACGGACAGTTGTTAGCTGCCATGTGGGTGCTGGGACTCAAACCGGGGTCTTCTGCAAGAACAACCAGTGTTCTTAACCACTGAGCCACCTCTCTAGCCCCCATTTATCACATTTTTAAACCTTTGAGATCTAAATAACATGGATTTTCTATACTTTAGTGCCCACATTCTCTCTCAAATCTGGCAGAGGCACCTGTTAAACTACATCTCCAAATTATGGCTCAGGAAATACAGTACCCAAACCCCCAACTTTGTATCATGAAGCCGAACACTTTCCTACTAGTTACCAACCAACATCACACCCCTCCTGACAGCTCCAGGGATGAAGCTGAAGTTCAGACAGAAGTTGGTCTTGCCCAATGTCTTTGAAAAGGCACAAAGGCACAAGACTAAATCAATCAAGTTAATTCAAAGGGACATTGGAGGAAAACATCAAACCAGGAGGCTTAGCTGAATTGCTGAGGACTGTCCCCCAGTGAACATTAGGGATTTGTCTTCAGCTCCTTGGCAAGGCACAGAAAACCCTTGAAGTGTGACTCCTTTAGTGAATATCCAACATGGAGCCCCTCCACTCCTCCCTAGTGGCCCAGGGAGTGGCACACTTCCACACTTGCTAGGCTCTCTGCCCAGTTTCTGAGTACCCACAATCACCCAGTTAAGTACACCAGAGGGAGACACCCACTCCTTGCTCATCCTGGTACCCAGGGAATCACTCACATTGGCTGGCTCCCTGCGGTGTCCCTCGCTGGTCCGAAGCCAGCTCCGGCTCAACTCACTAAGCTCAGGAATGGGCTGCACCTTGAGCCGCACACTGTCTCCAGACTGCCGGATCATCTCCACGATTTCATCCCTGGACTTACTCTCTACATTGTACCCATTAATCTCCACCAGCCGATCTCCTGGCACCAGCCCCAGGGCCAGGTCCTTGGTGCCTGCACCTGGCTCAGCAAAGTGAACCACCCGTCGATAGGCCTGCCCCTCGGGGCCACGGTCCAGCATGGTTGTGCGCCGCAGAGAGAAGCCAAAGTCTCCAGTGGGCCGTCGTTGCAGCTCCAGCTCCCGGAGAGCAGGAGGTGGCGGGGGTACCACAGGGGGAAGGCGCAGGTCAGCTGGGAACCTTTTAGACACCAGCTCAGGGACTCGAGACCGTGGCCCTGGTCGAGGGATGCCTGGGCCAGGATGCTGCATTAGTTGTCCCTCCAGCGTCCTCATCTCCACCTGTGGTGATGGGGCAGCAGAGTGCTCTGAGGGGGTCGAGGTCTCTGAGGCACTCTCATCACGGCTCCTCTGGGAGAAGGAGAACCGTTTGACAATCATCTGTGAGTTCTGCTTGGCCAGCGAGCCAAACTTGGCCGCGCGCTGCAGCACAGAGCCCCGGAAGCTGCCTTCCTCACCCTTGAGGTCATCGCTGGAGCTGGCTGTGCTTAGGTGGCCTGAGTCCAGGATGATGCTGCCCCGGTTGCTGTCAGAATCAATGTCCGTCAGGTGCAGGTCAGAGCCGCTGGCCACCTTAATAGGGATGGGGTTGGAGATCTCCAGGCGTGTCTTGGATTCACGCTTAGAGGAGCGGTTCAGGTTGAAGAAGCCACGACGCAGGCTCATCTCTTCCAAGCTCCGCAGCTCTGCGGCTGACATCCGCTCCTTCTTCTCCTTTTTCTCCTTCTTCTCCTTCCGCCCGCCATCTTTGTCTTTATCTTTCTTCATTAGGTTAAACATGGTGGGGTGCTGGTTTTAGGGGTTGTCACCCCAGCAGATTATAGGTGCTTAGCACAGGGTCTTTGGACCCCACCTTTCTGCTGCAAGTAAAAATAGAGAAAGGTTATTCCTGCGGTGCCTTTTCCAGTTCAGACAGAAGCAGCTGATAAACCAGTCACCCCTCACTGAGTCTAATGATTTATCAAGCACTCTGCTTCATACAATTTTATTACTTCATCCTTTAGACCAAGGTGTGCCTGGAGAGACCTGACCTGCTAGAAGCACTATGCCAACCGGGAACCCACAAATGGAAAGGGAGTCTGTGCAACATCACCTCCCAGGACCATGTTCACTGCAGCAATGGACATCCCATGTGACTGGGCTCCTTCCTATGCTAGTATTGCCAGAGCAACAGCCTTAGTCATTGCCTCCAAGAAGACCTCTGAGGACCCAACGTTCATGCCATGCCTCTTGTCAGGAACATCATACACACTCCTATTCAACCCTCAGCATTCCTACAAAGTATGTATGTTCATGTCTGTCTCACAAATGAGAAAAACAGAGCTCAGAAAGTTAAGGATATGTTAATAAGTGGCAATGCTGAGTTTTAATGGTGAATCCTGTGTCCTCTCTAAGGCCCTGGGTGCCCAAAGCAAAGCAAGGAGGGAAGGAAAGGGGAAGTCCCAGACTTCACAGAGGACAGACAGCTGCGAGGTGGGGGTGGAGTGGGGTCTGCTGGATAAACAGGATCCTGAAAAACTCACATCCTTTTCCCCAGACTGACACCTAAATATAGACTCGGGAAGAAAGTTGTGGCCACTTGAAAGAAAACCAGCTCCAGGATGTGCACACCTAGGGTGCTACCCTACCCCCTTCTCATATAGACTCCACTGGGGGCAGGACTAAGAAAGACCTAGTGGGGGTGGAGCTGAGAGTCTTTCTTGTTCTAACCAGCAGGGAACACAAAATAGAAGTAGGCCATGCCATCTAATTAGAAATTGAGGCTAGAGAGATGGCTCAAAGGTTAAGAACACTGACTGCTCTTACAGAGGATCCAGGTTCGATTCCCAGCTAACAACACGGTAGCTAACAACTGCCTATAACTCCAGTTCCAGGGGATCGATGCCCTCTTCTGATCTCCATGGGCACTGCATGACACGGGTGCACTTACAGATGTGCAGGCATAATACTCAACCACATAAAAATAATATTTTTTTTAAAAAATCCAAAAAACAACTGTAATTTTTCTCCCTTCATGAAAGCCTCCCTTTCTGAGTTCCAGACAGAGGATCTATGAGCTTACTCCCTCCAGCAATGGCCTCTTGCCAGGCCCTGAACAGGCATTTCCTCTCTCCACGCCCCCCGCCACGGCCAAGCAGGGTCCTACAAGATCCCCCATCCCACTAAGAGGGACCAACTCTCACCAATCCAGCTACAATGCCCAGAAAGGTATCAAGGCTAGGAACTCCCAGGGGCCCTTATGTACTGGCTAATTGCAAATCACCATGACCCACTTGGTTCCTGGCAGATCAATGCATCTTCCTTCTAAAGTAGTATTGTCTATAAGAAATAAAGTCCAGGGCTAGAGAGATGGCTCAGTAGTTAAGAGCACAGAGACTGATCTTGCAGAGGACCTGGGTTCAATTCCCAGCACCCACATGGTGGTTAACAACCATCTGTAACTCTAGTTCCAGGGTATCCAATACCTTCTTCTGACCTCTGTGGGCACTGCATGACATGAGTGCACTTATACACATGCAGGCAATATACACATAAAATAAAAATAATAAAAATTAAAAAAAAAATAATACAATATATCCAAAGTATTATCATTTTAACATGTAATCTACATAAAATAGAGATATTTTATATCCAACTTTCTATATTTTGCTTTGGTTTTTTTGACATATGGTCTTACTATGTAGCTCTGGCTGAACTAAAACTCATTATGTAGACCAGGCTTGACCTCAAATTCATGGGAAATCCTCTTGCCTCTGCCTCCTGAGTGTTGCTGGGATTACAGATGTGCACCACTACACCTGATCTATCCATATTAAGTTTTCAAAATCCAGTGTGTACCTTACATTTAGAGCATAATTCAATTCAGACAGACTACATTTCAAATGTTCAGCCTTCTGGGCTTTTGGATTAGACAGTACAACTCTAGAGAACTCTAGGTATGGAATATATCCAGAGAGGTAAGAAATCTGGCTAAGTCACTAGTTCCTTGTGGCTACAGCAAAACTGCTTTCCCTCTCTGACCTTAGTGCACATGTGTTCAGTTGTGCATGCTTGAGTGTGCATGTGCATGTGAAGGCTACCTTGAGTGCTATGTACCTTATTTTTTGAGACAGGGTCTCTCACTGGCCTGGAGCTCACAGAGGAGGTAAGGCTGGCTGGCCACTGAGTCTCGGGGATCCACCTCCCTCAACCTCCCCAGTGCTGGGTTCTAGGAACTGAACTCAGGTCCTCATGCTTCTAAGACAAGCACTTTACCAACTGAGCTATCTCTCCAGTTCCTCTGACTGCAGTTTCTCTTTAGCAAAACTGATCTTACTGGTGCTAAATGTTCCAATGAACAGTCCCTGGAAACTGGAAGACAGAAAATCTAAAATCCCTAAAGGCACCTAGTCAGGGGCAGTCCTGGTCAGCTGGCTCTGGACTCAGTGCATTGGGAGTACCTGACAGCTGGCTCTTTCTGGGGGAGTCCCTCTTCCTGAAAGCTGATGGGAATAAAGAATGGATTCATACTATACCACGATATGGGATCTTTGGCTGGTCGCTTCCTGTATCACCCTAAAGGACTTATTTAGATGTCTATAGGGATACCTGCAGAAGGAAACGAAAACAGAAAACTCTTGGAGTTTTAGAGGTGACAAAGATCTCAACTATATCCCCAACACAGAGGACCCAACAGTCTACAGTGTTGTCCTACCCAGACCCCTGATTCTCAGTCTCCAGTCCTCACCCAATCCTGGCTTTGTTGGAGGTCAGATAGCTAAGTGGTATCAACGGAAAACAGTGCCAGGATTCTAGAATCTTGGAGCTGCAGGAGTCCTTTAACAGTAATTTCATGTAAACTCCTCTCTCAGCACAAGTTTGTCTCTCTCTGTCACTGCAGCAGGCAGGAACAGACAGAGTAGCACCAAGGGTAAATTTAGCACAGGCTAAATTTTTTAGGGTATTTGGTATCTAGGCCTGGATTTGCCAACAAATTTCTGAGGGACCTTGAGCCTGTTACTTTGCTCAAGGTTGAACTAGATGATCAAGGTCTCTTCTAGCTCTAAAATTCCAATTGTCTGAGTCTCTTGTGGACATAAGGAGTTAGCTATTAACTTTCTGTCAAAGACACTCCTCTCATTACAAGCCTAGGGCCTTCAGAAGCTGAACCATGAGTTATTTACCACTCCTGTCCTGCTACTTTTATCTGCACAATTCACAAGGCAACCTTTCCCCACTGCCAGTTCCATGTGGTTGGGCCTGCCTGTGGACTAATTCTCTCCTGAGCCATGTGTCTAGGACTACCTGGCTGCCAGCATCCTCCCTCTCCAGGACCAAATCTGTAAGGTGGCTGCAGCTGCTGCTGCTCCTGTGCTCCTCAGCCTTGCTTGTTTGCTGAAGAGCTGGGCTCTATCACTTTCTTAGAGGCCTTGACTTACCAGCCTCTCCTGTCCTCAGGTGAGAGTCTCTAGCAGCTCCGAAACCAGAACCTCCCAGATTCTCATTCCGGGCTATGGCTTCTCCCCATGCCCCTTCCTCTCTTGCTCTTTCCCTTCATCCCAGTGACTGTAATCTTGCAATCTTTCTGACTTCTCTCTCTACCCACGCCCCCCGGGACTCCAGTTCCAGAACATCTTTCCTAATTATGACTGGAAGAAAGTAGAAAGGTAAGTATATACCTAAATTATTTTGACCCTCCAATCTAAAACAAAGTACAGGGGCTGGAGAGATGGCTCAGTGGTTATGAGCACTGACTGCTCTTGCAGAGGATCCAGGTTCGATTCCCAGCACCCACACACATGGTGGCTATGAACAGTCCTTAACTCCAGTTCCAGGGGATCCGATGCCCTCTTCTGACCTCCGCTGGCATTGCACAACATGGGTGCACTCACATACATGCAGGCAATATACTCATACACATAAAATTTTTTAAAATAAAAAAAAAACTAAAAGTACAGTTGACAGATTTGTCAACTCAGCTGCTTTATCATTTTAGAACTCTGAGCTTCTTGAAGGCAAGGTCCCCTTAAGTCAAAAGTGCACCCATGGGTCCATGCACAAAAATCAATAAACAATTTGCAATTCATAAAGTAGAACACTGCTGATGCAATAACAGGACTGAATCTCAAAACATTATGTGAAACAAGAGGGAAAGAAGCCACTGACAAAAGCATGCTCATTTATAGGATTCTATTTTTTTTTTTTGTCTTTTCAAGACAGGTTCTCACGACACCCAGGCCAACCCTGAACTCACTATGTAGCTGAGAATGACCTTGAACTCCTGATCTTCCTACACCTCCTGAGTGCTTGGATTACAAGCATGTGCCATGATGCCTAGTGGTATGATTCCACTTATGTGAACTTCTAGGACAGGCAAAACTAATCCATGGTGAAAAAAGGCAGCGCAGTGGTTATCCTTGGAGAACAGAGATGTGGAATGTATGAGAAAGGGCATGAGGGGACTTTCTAGGATAATCAAGTCCTGAACGTTCATAGAGGTTTGAGTTGACAAGTTTATACATCTGTCAGCGGTAAGCAGATAGTGTGCTGTAAGATCTGTGCATTTGTTTGAGCATAAATATCTACACAAAAAGAACTGAAGGCAAATATCAAATTCTAGTTAACAACAGATAGGTTAAAGGATTTGGAGTGGACTATAGCTTTAATTTACTTTGAGATATGTCAAAAATTTCATATAACTTCATGGATAGATCAAGGGATAAAAATGTGATAAAGCAAGGATGAAAAAATATTGATTGTAGAATTTATGAGTCAGGGTAGTTGTAAAATTCAACTCTTCTGAATGTTTGTAGATCTTTGTGATAAAATATCAGGAAAAAAAATGTATCTACCAAGTATCTACTAAACACAAATGATATAAAGGCAAATGAACCTAGCAAAGAGCTCAAGTTTACCTCTGCAGTTTGGGGTAAGTCACTTAATGTGCTGGCCAGCTTCAGTTGTCAACTTGACACATCTAGGAAGAACAACATCAGCTGGGAAATTTCCTCTATCTGATGGGCAGGTGGGCAAGTCTGTGAGGCATTTTCTTGATGGCAGGTGGTCCTGGGTTGTATAAGAAAGCAGGCTAAGAACAGGCCTGAGAAGCCAGCCAGTAAACAGGATCCCCCATGGTCTCTGCTTCAGTTCCTGCCTCCAGGTTCCTACCCTGACTTCTCTTGATGTTGGATTATGACTTGGAAGTTTTAAACCATAATAAACCCTTTCTTCCCCAAGTTGGTTTTGGTCCCTATTGATAAAGGGACATGAAACTACCTACTGCCAGGTGTGGTGACACACGCCTTTAATCCTAGCACTTGGGAGGCAGAGGCAGGCAGATCTTTGTGAGTTTGATGCCAGCCTGGTCTACATAGTGAGTTCCAGGACAGCTGGGGCTACAAGGAGACCCTGTCTCAAAAAGACCAAAAAAAAAAGAAAAGAAACTACCTACCACTACCACAAAAGGAATGGGAATCAAATATGGTAGCTATACTTTAATACAAATTATACATAAACATACACACATATATATGCATACATATATATATGTTCGTAAGTGCCTAGGCACATGGTACGCTCTCAAGAATGGTACCTAAGTGCTGGCAAGATAGCTTAAGAGCTAAAGGTGCTTATTGCCTAAAATGTAAGCCTGATGACCTGAGTTATACCCCCCAGAATCCGTGTAAAGGTAGGAGAGAATCGACTCCACAAAGTTGTCCTCTGACCCCCATATGTATGCCACCGCCCCCCCCATCATAGGCACACACACATATTATACATTTAAAATGTCTTTAAATGGTACCTAATAGAAGTGAAGCTTTTTTTTTTTTTTTTTTTTTTTTTATCCTTAAAGCGGGAGCAGGCTGAGACAGGGTCTCATGTGGGCCAGGCTGGCCTCATACTCAATATGTAGCCAAGGAGGACCCTGAACTAGAGATCCTCCTGCTTCCACCTCCCAAATGCTCTCAAGACATATTCTTTGCCTCTCTCATAAGTATTGAAAAGAAGGTAAGAGTATATAGATGACTATCAGCACTAATGTGACTAAATTAAGTCCAGACCTTTGTATATGGACAGTAAAGCCCAAAGATGTGAAGGTAAGCCAGTGAGCACGTGGATGGATGGATCTACCAGCTTGAGTCCATAGTCCTCTGTAGCCACTGCTAAGGATACAGTCAGTTCATAGATGCAGAAAAGCAAACACAAGCTATTTAGCTCAAAAATCACAGACATGTGAAACAGGCATATAGGATTTTTCACTTGGCAGTTTAATAAAAGCTATCAAAATTAACATCAATCAGTTAGGGCATGGGAAAGGAGGACTCTCGTGTATATTGGTGGGATTTTATGATCTTTCAATAGACAGTTTTCAACTCCTTGGTTGAATTTGTCCCTGAGTATTTTTAAGCAATTGTAAATCAGATCATTCTCACATTTTCTGTAGTTACTAGTATGCAAAACACTGATATGTTTGGGGGCTGGAGCCATCTGGCTCAGCAGTTAAGAGCACTGGCTGTTCTTGCAGAAGGCCCAGGTTCAAATCCCCGTACCTGCATGGTGGCTAACAGTCCATAACTCCAGTTCCAGGGGGTCTGACACCTTCTTCTGTCCTCCTCCCGGGTGCACTTACCTACATGCAGGCATAACACTCATACACATAAAATAAAAAAAATAAATAAAATATATATTTTTTTAATTTTAAGTAATTTTATGGGGCTAGAGAGATGGCTCAGTGGTTAAGAACACTGGTTGTTCTTGCAGGAGACCAAGGTTCGAATCCCAGCACTCACATAGCAGCTAACAACTGTCCATAACTCCGGTCCCAGGGGATCCGACAGCCTCTTCTGATCTCTGCGAGCATTGCACAACACGGGTGAACCTACCTACATGCAGGCAATACACACATACACATGAAATAAAAATAATAAAAAATTTTTTAAAGTTAAAAAAAAAATTTTTAGAAATTTATTTGTTTTAGGGGTGGGGCAGGTGTGCCATGGCAAGTGTGGAGGCCAGAGGACACCTTGTGGGAGTCCTTCTCTCCTTCCACCATGTGGATTCTAGCAGTCAAACTCAGGTCAGACTTAGTGGCAAGTACATTTACCCACTGAGCCATCTCACCAGCCCATGATTTCTTTCTTTTTGAACATCAGGAAGGCCAAATGGTTTTTATTATAAAAATATGAACTGCTGGGGCCTGGAGAGATGGCTCAGCAGTTAAGAGCACTGACTGCTCTTGCAGAGGACCCAGGTTCGATTTCCAGCACCCACATGGCGACTACAGTTCCAGGGGAATCTGAAACCCTCCTCTGACCTCTGAGGCATTGCACAACACGGGTACATTCACTTACATGCAGGCAATACACTCATACACATAAAATAAAAATAATAAAAACAATATTTTTTAAAATGAACTGCTTCTAAGCAGGGCATGGTGGCATACGCCTTTAATCCCAGTACTTGGGAGGCAGAGGCAGGCAGATCTTTGTGAGTTTGATGCCAGCCTGGTCTACATAGTGAGTTCTAGGACAGCTGGGGCTACAAGGAGACCCTGTCTCAAAAAAAGAAAAAAATGAAAGAAAGAAAAAAAATGAACTGTTTCATGAATTTGTATGTTATTCTTGCACGGGAGCCATACTAATCTTCCCTGTATTATTTCAATATAGCATACATCAAAATGAGCACTGGCACAAGTTGGTGATGTCCATGAAAATATTTATGTACATATTCTCTGGTCATTTTTTTACTATTGTGCTGTATAGCGCTAGTGTCAACTTGACACACCTGGGCTGAGGGAGCCTCAACTGGGAAATTGCCTTCATAGGACTGGCCTGTGGCCATGTCTGTGGGGCATCTTCTAGATTGTTGAGTGATGTGGGAGGGCCCAGCTCACTGTGGGTGGTGCCACCCCTGGGCAGGTAGGCCTGTGTTGCATAAGAAAGCAGGCTGAGCAGGGGCCAGGGGAGCAAGCCAGTAAGCAGCGTTCCTCCATGGCCTGTGCTCCAGCTCCTGCCTCCAGGTTCCTGCCCTGAGTTCCTACATTGGCTCCCGGGATTAAAGGCATGCGCCACCATGCCTGGCCCTATTATTTTATTTATTATTTTCAATTATTATTTTCAATTTATGTGTATGTGTGTGAGTGAATGCCATGTGTGTGTAGGTGACCACAGAGACAAAAAGGTAGCATCCAATCCCCTGGAGCTGGAATTACTGATGGTTGTGGCCCACCCAACATGGGTGCTATGAACTGAACTCCAGTCCTCTGCAAGAGCCATCTGTCCAGCCCCAACTGATTGATTCCATTTGTAGGTCATCTATAGATATATTCACATAATAAATATGACTAATCTTTTGCAGCATTGTTCATAATAGAAAATCTATAACTATAAATGTGAATTTCTAGGGAAATAGCTAAATTATGAATCAACTAAGCAGTTATTAAAAGGAAGGAGGTAGAGGTGGGTGTGACTCAATGGTAGAGTCCTTGCCTAGCATATGCAAGGCCGTGGACTCAAGCCCCAGAATATAGAGAGATATGTTTGTACATACTGACTGGAAAAAAAAAATCTATACTCTTAAGTGAAAAAAGCAAGTTACAGTATAGTATATAATGTTGCTAAATTCTTCAACGTGTATGTGTGACTATATACATGTATATTATATATTTATTTTGCACATTCATGGAAAACATATGCTTTGGGGAGGAGATATGGATTTTAATTTTTAAAAAATATTTTATTTATTATTTAATTTAATTTTTAATGGTCTTTGAGACAGGGTCTCCCTGTAGGCCCAGCTGGCCCAGAACTCACTATGTAAACCAGGCTGGCCTTGAACTCACAGAGATATGCCTGCCTCTGCTCCCAAGTGCTGTGACTAAAGGCATGCCACACTACTCCCAGCTTATTATTTTTATTTTATGTCTATGAGTGTATTGCCTGCATGTATGTAAGTGTACCTGTGTTGTGCAATGCTTGAGGAGGTCAGAAGAGGGCGTTGGATCCACTGAAACTGGAGTTACAGATGGTTATGAGCTGCCATGTGGGTGCTGGTAATTGAACCCAGGTCCTCTTCAAGATCAACCAGTGCTCTTAACTGCTGAGCCATCTCTCCAGCCCTGGATTTTAATTTTTAAAAATTTTATGTGTATGAGTGTTTGGCCTGCATGTATGTAAGTGGACCACATGCCTTGCAATGCTCATGGATGCCAGAAGAGAGCATCGGATCCCTTAAAATTAGAGTTAGGGACATTGTTAGCCACCCTGTGGGTGCTGGGAAATGAACCCAGGTCCTCTGCAAGAACAGCCTGTGTTCTTAACGACTGAGCCATCTCTCCAGCCCTGAGATATGAATTTTAGAAAAGTCAAAATAGATTTGTGTTTTATTTATATGGTTTTAACTTTTTATTACATTTTATTTGTGTGTGTGCATGAGCACACATGCAATAGCACTCATGTGGAGGTCAGCGGACAACTTGTGGGAGTCAGTTCTCTCCTTCCACCATGTGGGTCCCAGGAATTGAACTCAGGTTGACAGGCTTAGTAGCAAGTACCTTTACCTGCTGAGTCATCTTGCTGGCCTATGGTTATAACTTTTTATGTGACTATTCAGCTGGTAGCAGTGTAAGTGTGTGAATGTGTGAGTGTATTTAAGCCTAGGCGGGGCTTTGAGTCGTGGGATTATATGAAATTTTTGCTCTACTTTTCTGCACACTATTTTCCATAAAAAATTTAAAAATAATTAGATATATTTCATTGTAACATTTATCTCTGCAGAGCTGGGTATATAGCTCTGTGGTTTAGGGCTTGCTTGGCACCTCTGACAGGTCAGGTTTTGACTGCCAGCACCATACAAAGAACAAAACAAGAGGTCTGACTCTAGAGGGTGAGGAGAGTGGCCATTTTAAAAACTGAAAAAGATCCTGAAAAAGTAGTGAGCAATCCGGGATGGAGAGCTGGCTCAGCGGTTAAGAGCACTGACTGCTTTTTGCAGAGGACCAGGGTTCAATTCCCAGCACTCACACGGCGGTGACGAGGCGGTGACGAACCGTCCGTAAGTCCAGTTCCAGGGGAACCCGGAACCCTCTTCTGACCTTCGCGGTCAGACACAGGTGCCCTCCCTCTTCTGACCTCGGCGGCTTTGCACAAGGGTGCACTCACATACATGCAGGCAATAGACTCATACACATAAAATAAAAATATTTTTTAAAAAGTAGTGAGCAATCCATTGACGTTAAAAATGTAAAAGGGGGTTGCCATGGTCAGTTTAAGACTCGTCTTCTTGTCTTAAAAAAACTTTAAGTGACTTGGGGGACCTAGTTAAGAGACTTCGCTCGTGTTTTGTGGCTTTAGGGCAGACTTAAAGTTCATCCTGCAGCTGGCAAGGCAAAAACCCCGAGAAATGATAACTACCACAGCAAGAGCTCCCCCAAACCAGGGCTCCCAGACTTGGTTGCTGCGGGTGGATCCTTAGGTCAGTTCCCCAACCCCCACGCCAGACCACACTCATAAATAAATACAAAGGAAATGCTTTCCCGAGGGGGCCCGCCTCTCTTCCTTGGCCTCTGACCTCCCCAGGCAGCCACTCCCTCCAGCCCGGGCCCCTCTCCCAGGCCCGGTGGGGTTGAGCAGCGTGACCGGCCCGGGCCGGCCGCCGCGCCCTCCGCTTCTGCTGAGCTCCGCAGCGCCGCGTGACTCACTGCCAGGTCACCACACGGAGCTTATCTGGCTCCAGGTGTGCTGCTGCTCGCAGGACCGCAGCCCGCCCACCCCGCGCCCCGCCGCCCGGCAGCTCAGCCGCAGCCCCGCAAGCACCTCCCACCCCGGTGCGGTCTCCCCCGGCACGCGGGAACCTGTGGTCCCAGGAGGACAAGGCTGGAGAATGCCTGTGGCTCAGCCGCATCCCCGCCACATTTCCGAGCGTCACCTCTGAGGCCGCCTGCCGGCACCCAACTCTGCGGCTTTTCCGCATGCCGTCAGTGTGACCTTGAGCAAGTCGCTTCTCCTCCCTAGCCTCAGTTCTTCCAGCTGTAAAATCTCCAGCGTGGATCTGGCCTCAAGCCTCTGCTCCACCACAAACTACAGGTTCGAACCCAGTATCTCTGAAAATCGAAGAATTTTAAGAATATCGCTAGTCAGTGATGATGAAGTACCTGGCCATGTAAAACCATCAGTCCACAACTTAAAGCCGGTGTGTCTCTAAATTGAAATGTCAAGGGAATGTGGATTATTTACAGGCTGCACAATTCGTACTTCCCCAAAGGGCAGGGAGCTCCGGGAAGCAGAGTGGGAGAATAGGAGACTTACCCCATACCTCTGCCACTCTAGCACTTAACTCCATCCTTCTGTATCACCTAATTCTGACTACCCTAGAAAATGGTAAAGGTACCTTAGTAAAGCTGGGACAAGGGAGAGAAAATGGTGACTACTAGGTTGGTAGGATGTACAGATCTTAATGCACCTAGGGCCTAACCCAAAGCACAACTTTAAAACTTAAGGCAGCCAGTCATGAATCATGTTGAGAACCTGTCAATCAAAGTACAGGGTAGTTCCACAGCCCCTCAGCTTTTTCCTTCCCATGCCACAACACACTCACATGGATGCTGTTTCCAGTCTGTGGTGCCCACTCCAAGGGGAGGGTATCTAGCTGGGGCCAGATTTGTGTGTTGAAGGAGCAAGAACTGAGCAGTGGCTCTGGAATCCTTTGAAACACCAAGTCAGGGTGAAGACTTCCGGAGTCCCAACAACTCCCTGCTCCACCCCAGCAGGGTGGATTCTCCTTTCACATAAGCCCCAGTTCTGCCCCACCCAGTTCACCTTCAGGTACCTGCTTCTGGGGTACCCTCAGCATTCTCAGGCTCAACTTTTGAAGACACATGCCCCTCCTCCGTGAGCAGCCTCCAGCAGGGAGGCCACTGAAAGGGATCTGGGCAATAAGCCCAGACTGCCCAGGAGTCAGGAAGGGCACCGTCCAAGCAAGGGCTTCTGAGGAGGAAGCCCTCAGACACCACCTACCAGCACCTGAGCCAGGCCAGCAGCAAGCTAACAAACTAGACAGAGGTGCCAGGTATCTAGTAATCAACTATCCAAAGTTCAAACTTCCAAAGGAAGTGACCATAGCCTGTGACCCTTCCTAGTCCCTCCCTCCACTACCTACAACCCTTCCTCAGTTTCCTAAACCCTCACAGGACAGCTCACCACAAAGCCATTGTCTTGCTGGAACAGAGGCCCCACTCCCAGTATCCTCAATCCCAAACAGCCAAGCACACCTCCACCCAAGGCTATATATAACCAGCCAAGTCGTGTCCAGCAACCAGGAAGATGTTTCCTGGAAAGCTTCATCACAAAAGGACAGAGGGGAGGCTGAGGAGGTGGCAGGCCTTTGTCAAAGAGCCAACAAGGCTTCTCAGGAAGCCAGAGACCTCAGGAGAGCAACTTTTAATATGCCCAAATAGAACATAGCCCCAGAATCAGAAAGGGTGGGACCAGTTTAGCCAGGCCCACTGATATGGCAACAGGACACCCACCTACTCAAGAAAAGGGCTCCAGAACTGGAAAGCATAAGCAAAGGCAGCCCAAATCAATGTCCTCTAGATTCAGTGTTCTGCTAAGGTGATCCAGCTCTTAGGTCCTCCAGTGACCTTACCCTCCCTTCTAATAGGGCCCCAATGCATACATACACTCACTTCCCACAGTTCTCTCTCCATAGGGACACTCTCACAGCCTCCTCAGCCACAGACATGTCAGAGACACCAAGAGGCAAATTCAACTTATGCAAACAGCCCCAAGGCATTGGTGAGAAGAGGGAAAGGCCTCAATCATATCATGGGGGGGTGGTTTACCTGAGGGCAGGACCTCCTAGCCAGGAGAGGCCCTCCCCTCACACACTAAGAGGCCACCACCACCAAATACATGTTGTTTTGGCTAAATGACCAAGCAAAATGAATAAAGCTTAAAAAACAAATTGGCTGTCTTCCCTCCTCCCCACCTGCCCCCACTTCTGGCTCTCTCTGGCAGCAGGCTTTCCAACTAATCAGCGGGACACATGTGCCTGGCAACAGGGTGACACCCCCACCACAAAGCCCCAACGTGTCCCGAAGGCCTTATCTCATCCAGGAGTGAGACCCACTCCCTGGGTCATGCTGGGTACCAACCTGCGTTCCTCCAGCGCGGGGAAGGACCAGGGCACCTGACCCTGCAACCTCCCCTTCCATTGGCGAGACAACTGGCATGACAGGTTCGCAGGGCGGGGCGTCGGCGCTCTCTCCCAGAGGCCTGGGGCAGGCTGCCCTACCTTCCCACACACACCCCACTCCCTGCAGGGAAAGGTGCGGTGAGCAGCCCAGTTACAGGGGGCAGTCTACACTGCCAATCCCCCTAGCCTGACATCCCCCCCCATTGTCTGTCCCAAGAGAAGGGGCCCGGGAAGCGGGGTCTCCATTGTTTTGCCAGCTGTCTAGCAGCTGCTCCTTTGAGAGGAGCCCGCTGTCGGCCTGGCAGTGAAAGGGTGAAGGCCGCTGGGAGGGATAAAGGACTCGGTGGAGGTGCTCGCCCTGCCCGTAGCCATCCTCAGTACTTCTCCCGATCGCTCCATCTGGAGGGGGGGGGTGTCTCGGGCCTGGCCCCTGGAGCCCCCCAGTCCCAAGGCTGCAGCCCCATCCCGCAGCTCCGGGCCACCTGGGCTCCTCCAAGCCTTCAGTCCTCCCACGCTGAAGGCGGTCCTATCCTGCCTCCAGCGCCCAAGCCTGGCGAGCACCGGCCGGCACCGTCCCTCCCCGCCGCTCGGGGTCGGCCCCCACCCGGGCTGTCCAGCCCGGCGGCGCCGCCAGGGACAGAGCCTGGAGTTCGGGCCGCCGCTTCCTTCCAGGGAGCAGGGGAAGAGGAGGCGCCCGAGGGCCCCGCCGCCCGCCCAGCCGGC